GAAAAATGTCCAGCACACCTACAGCCTAGGGAATGACCTGCTGGGTGGCACGGAAGTGGAAAGGGATCTTGGAGTCCTAGTGGACTCTAAGATGAACATGAGTCGGCAGTGTGACGAAGCCATCAGAAAAGCTAATGGCACTTTATCGTGCATCAGCAGATGCATGATGAATAGGTCCAAGAAGAGGGATGCGGATAGCCTGGAGAGGGTCCAGAGAAGGGCCACTCGTATGGTTAAGGGCCTGCAGACCAAGCCCTACGAGGAGAGACTAGAGAAACTGGATCTATTCAGCCTCTGCAAGAGAAGGTTGAGAGGCGACCTTGTGGCTGCCTATAAGTTCATCACGGGGGCACAGAAGGGAATTGGTGAGTATTTATTCACCAAGGCGCCCCCGGGGGTTACAAGAAATAATGGCCACAAGCTAGCAGAGAGCAGATTTAGATTGGACATTAGGAGGAACTTCTTCATGGTTCGAGTGGCCAAGGTCTGGAACGGGCTCCCAAGGGAGGTGGTGCTCTCCCCTACCCTGGGGGTCTTCAAGAGGAGGTTAGATAACCATCTAGCTGGGGTCATCTAGACCTTTCCTGCCTATGCAGGGGGTCGGACTCGATGATCTATTGAGGTCCCTTCTGACCCTAACTTCTATGAATCTATATGAATCTATGACCCCAAGTTGGGGGAATACCTGTCTGCTAGCCACCCACCTGAGCGGCCCCAGCGGCACTGATACCTCAGAGGGAAGGACTGGAGCCCCCAGCAGCTCAATGACTACTTGCGCTGCCAGCAGCTCACCCCCGGCTGCGGGAGAGGCAGGCAGGCTCCACTGCGGGGGAAGAAAAAAGATCAGGCTCCTCACTGCTTTTGCATTTAGTAGGAGCCTGCTGAAGGCAGAAGTGGTGTGGGGCCTGATCCTTTTTTTTTCTGCAGAGCCTGTCCACCTCTCCCGTGGCCTGGGGTGAGATGATGGCTGCATCGTTGCAATTTGCAATGTTGCAAACTAAACTCGCAGTCTCATGTCGCCGCTTGGAAGCACTGAAGATCGTGCACTGAGATGTTTTCATTATGAAGTCATCCACTGTCTTCACAGCACCATCAGTCAACTTCTTCCCCACTATCCAAAAATGATCCTAAGAGTGAAGTCTGATTAACTTGACATTATATGTGTTCATGTGATATACTCCCTTCAATATGGGAGCAAATATCTGCAGCAGCAAATTTGCCCCATGACAGTCGTGAGAGCACAAGAGGAGTCTCTCTCCAGATGGACAGGCGTTGAAAGGCTGGACAGGCAGGTGTCTGGCCTGTGTCACTGCGTGTGGTGCACTCTTGCCCTGCTAGAGTCGGAGTCACCACCATGTCCCCACGGGAATCTGGAGGCAAAAACAGAGAACATAGGGTTACAGTTTATATGTTGTTTGGTTTGACAAACGCTGTACTTTTTCCTGTAAAAGTCCTATATCGGTGTTACAGCTCAGACTTGTTTAGCTTACAGCAGTGTTTAAAACATAACTTTTTTATAATCATGACTTTTTTTTTTCACCTGCCAATTTATTTAGGAACAGGTGCAAACCAACTGAAAGACTCTCATCCACTTCAAGGGGGTTGTATCAGGGCCAGGTATCTGAACAATGTCTTTCCTGTTTAGAGACAAGACTGCCAGAAGTCAGTAGAAACTTTATGGGGACATTAGCTATTTGGTGGACAGCGATCAAGGAGATCATGTAGTTCTTTATGTGGGATCCAGAGCAGTAACAAACAGATGATTTGAGCAGAAGAGATCATCGAGATATGTCTGACTGGTGCAATGTGTTCAACAGGCTGTAACAAGCATCACAGAATAATGATGCCGTGCAGAGCAGCTCAGGGATGTCCTCCAGGACTGAAAGATGCAAACTGGGTTAGATATGAACATTTCCATCCCATCCGAAGAGGTTCAGAGTAGAGTGGACAGGTGCCCGGGCATAAGAGGACAAGTTCAACCCAAGTTTAATGAATCAACCCTGGAGGCTGTATGAGAAGCTGGCTTGTTCTTCCGATAACTGCTTGCTGCCACTGTGGAAGTGCGAGCACACTCCATTAGGATCAGGGTCTGAACGTGGTAGATGCTGCACAAAAACAGGAGCACCCAGTCCTTATTCTTTGCATTGCATTGAAATGGCATATTTCAGCACTGAGCGAGCTAAGGGCGGATCGGTGTTGGCTTAGAAATTGAATGAAATGTTCTCAGCTGAGTACTGATGCCTAAATACCATTTTGCATTTAATTAGCCCAGTTTTTGTGCAGTTAATGTTGTGGCTTCCCTTCCTGGGGGACCGCTGCAGAGCGAAATTCTAACTCTGGCCTTGTGGCTCTTTCTGCTGCTGCTTGAATTGACATCTTAGCAAATCTGCTTAATGCATTCAGAGTTGTGGAGACCTTGAACCTGAATCTTCTGATGGTTTCTTGTGCCTCATACAAGAAGGGCAATGACTTCTGATCCCGAGGGTCTCTAAAGGACAGTTTAAAGTCCATGTTTAAGCTCCGAGAATCAGTAGCTTGATTTTTTCAGTGCACTGAGCAGCTCCCAAAGGAAAGTCTTGTGGTGCCATCTCGTGGCCCAGGGCTGTAAGTTGATCTTCGTGTTTGCAGAAGATTTAGAGCTGACTCGGCTGTTCCTCAAACCGAGACAAACTTGACAGAACCATTATTATATTTTCCGCTTGCTATTCCAGTGTCTCCTCACTGCTTTGCTTTATATCTACCACCACTTTTCCCTGTTGAGGGAAAACGTTGTGGGAATTTGGTTTTTCTCCCTTGCTTAAATTTTGAATAGGATTTTTCTTTGGAACGGGTGTGATGTTTTTTTCTTAATGGAGAAAGAAGATATTTTCTAGACAAACGTTACTGAGTTCATATATTCTCACCTGTTCTGAACTGTTTCCTGAATTTAGGAGTACCGGTGGCTTCTGTGCAGTCCTGTGGGGTGCGCAGTAGTGGGACTTTCACCAGGAAGCGGAGGTGGCTTTGGTTTCTCTGGTGTTTTAGTCGTTAGGAAGGTGTTTATGGATCTCTCCCTTGGAATAAGGTCTGCAATTCTGTTTTGCTATCGGACCCTACAGCCCTGAATCTCCATTCACCCCTGCATACCACAGTCATGGACCTGTGCTCCACTGTCCGTTTGGTAATGTGCAAAACAGTTTATATTTCTCATCTAAATCTCTCCCCCGTGGCTTCATTTTCTCTGAACCGAGGTCACCAGGAGCCGGAGAAGTAGACAGTGAGCAGGTCTGAGCTAAGAGCACTTCCCTGGTGTAGTTACAGTAGGATGCTGTGCAAACCACGAGCACCCACTGCAGTTACAGCATCTAGAGTGACGGAGCCCAATCTGATTGACATGCACGGTGTCTAGGTACCAGCGATGCCTGCTCGGAGCAGGGGCTGTGAGGTAGGTTGGAAATATGCAATATTCTCCCATGGAAATCTGAGAAGCAACCTCCTGTGACTGTATCTCCCTGGGCCCAGAGCAGGGGCTGCTGATAATATGGTATATAGTTGTGTCTACTGGTCAACTTACTCCTGGATGACAATTCTGTGTGTGTGAGTTTAATTTTCCCCAGGATTTCATTCCCTCCGTGCAGAAGTCTAGTTTGTGCTCAGTGCACCCATCCTTCCCACTGAAGCCCCACAATGAAGAGCACTTCAGTGGTGCCTGTGCCTTGTGGACGTGTCCAGCTTTTTCATACTGCAAGGGCTTGTGGGGAGGGGAGAGGGTGGAGGAGGATCTCATTGAGAAGAGACCCAGAGCAGTTTTCAATCCCTCCAGGATAAGGCCATATACACGCTAGGTCCCCCAGTTTGTGCCACGGGGGGGACAGGGATACCTTGGTTTTCAGTAGGAAAAGAAATGTTGTGCTGGAAGAAGAAATGAGCTCCTAGTTCAGGTGGGGTGAAAATTGTGAGACTTGGGAGCAAACTCCCCTGGACTGAGCACCTGGGCTGATCTGTCCTGCAGGCTGGGCAGGAGGGGCAGTGTGATGGTATCTGTGGCTCAACAAGTGACGTGTTTGGGTGCCGGGGAATCCCTGCAGCTGGCATTGAGTGTAGCAGTTGTGTCGATCATGTGTCTCTTCAGGAAGCAGCTGTGGTGCTGGGCTGTGCAGCCTGGCAGGTTTTTGTATGGGTTTGTATCATTGTGTGATATAAGCTGTAGGTCTGCTGACAATAATAATCTCCAGCATCTTCAGCTTCAACACTGCTGATGGTGAGGGTGAAATCAGTGCCAGAGCCACTGCCACTGAACCGGGCTGGGACTCCCGACTGCCGGGTGGAACCAAGGTAGATGAGGAGCTTTGGAGCTTGCCCAGGTTTCTGCTGGTACCAGGCTAATTCCTGATAGCTAATTTCAGATCTAATATGAGTAAGGCTGGAGCTGGCTTTGCACTTGATGGTCACTCGATCTCCTGGAGACACCGCCAGGCACTCTGGGGTCTGAGTCAGCACAATCTGCCCCGAGGAACCTAGAAGTAAAAACAAATGTTGAATTAACATAGTGCCTGCATCCGTCTAGGTAATGAGTCCCACTGGACAATCTGGATGCTTTGGCAATCTTCCCTGTGTGCTTTCATACAGAATAAAGCAAGTTTGTCTCCTGGCTGAAATGCTAACGTGCAGCCAGAAGTGCTCCTTTCCTTCTACTCCTTTCTTCATTGCTCATCTAGAGTTACAGCCTCAGCCCGTGGACATCCAGAGAAAAACTAATGTTCATTCCTGTGCGCTTTGGATCCTGGTCACAGAGATGAAGTAATCGGAGTCCCTGCCTTCTAAGCGGGTGCATTTCTCTGAGCATTTTTAAGCACCTGATAAACCCAATTTCCAGAACTTTTTGTTTCTGTGGAAAGGATGGATTTGGTGTAATGAAACTACTTCCCTCTGAGTTTGCTGCTTACCCTGGACCCAGAGCACCACGAGGCAGAGCAGGGGAGGCAGTGATGCCATCTTGGTACGTGTGCCTGGCCTGCACTGATCACCAGTCTGGACCAAGTGCCGTGGAGCACTTATACTGGCTCCAAGCATGAGGAGGGCGTTGACTGGGTGTAAAACATGCAAATCTGTCTCAGAGATGATTTGCAAGTGATCTAAAAATAAGCTGCGAAAGGCAGGTGGTGTTGAAGGGGGCAGACACAGTGGGTTCACAGAGCTCCTTCACTTTGTGCTGAGTTGGTGTTTGTCAGAAGTGGGTGGGAAGAGGGTTGTGACCTAGCACTTGTTTGGGTGCCAGCTTGTTTAAGTGGTACTGGACATGTCCTGCTGGACACACGGTCACTGCTGTGATCTCCCTGTGCTAGGGGAGCCACAGAGGAAGTGACTTCCTCACTCCTTGCTCCTTTTCCTCAACTTAGAAATCTTGTGTAAGCTAAAGAAAAGATCACTGTCCTGAACTTTGCCCTTCTAGAGGATTGTTCAGCAACTGGACATATTTTGCACCAGGAAGACACTTCCATTGCTTTTGTCTTTTTTTATTTTCATTCTTTCTCAGACTATCTGCCAAGGGAAACAGCAAGGCAAATGGGGTCTCTTTTAAGAGCATCTTTTTCAATGATTTTGTGGGGAATCATGAATGCTTTGAATAAAAGGGTAAGAGGTAATGACCCACAACACTTTTTACTCCAGCCTAGCAGGAAAGTCTCATGAATCATAGTAGTAACTCCCAAGTCTAGTAAGTAATACATGATTTATTGGAATAATATAATTTCCTGGTCAACTTAATCTGCCCCTATCTCCTGAGCAGTGTGCTATTTCCATGGCTATTGAAGATTGCCAGGGTAGGCGATTGCACCAGCTCTGGAGGGAGCTTATTCCACAGTCTGGACACCCTGACTGTGAAGAAGTTTTTCCTAGTGTTGAGCCTGAATCGGTCTTCCAGGAGTTTGTGGCCATTACTCCTAGTTTTCCCCTTGGGTGCCCTGGTGAACAGTTGCTCATCGAGCCCTTGATGTCCTCCCCTAGTGTAGCAGTAACCTGCAACCAGGTCCCCGCTCAGCCTTCTTTTCCTCACACTGCAGAGTCCCAGGTCCCTCAACCTTTCCTTGAATGACTTGCTGTGCAAGACTGATCATACGGGTGGCTCTTCTTTGGACTTTCTCAAACTTGCCCACGTCCTTGTTAAAGTGTGGTGCCCAAAACTGGACACAGTACTCCAGCTGCGGTCTCACCAGTGCTGAGTAGAGCAGAAGAATCGCCTCCTTGGTTTTGCTGGAGATGCATCGATTGATGCATGCCACAGATTATTTGCCCTACCTGCTACAGCATTGTACTGCCAGCTCATATTCATACTGTGGTCTATTATTGCCCCGAGGTCCCTTTCATTTGTGGTGCTAGTCATTTTAGTGCCACCAAGCCTGTGGGTGTGTTGGGGGTTGCTTGTCCCCAGGTGGAGCGCTTTACATTTCTTGATGTTGAATTTCACCAGGTTCCGATCCGCCCAACTTGCCAGCCGGTCTCGGTCTGCTTTTATATGTAGCTTATCTTCAAGCGTGACCATGCTCCCCCGTAACTAGGTGTCATCCATGAGCTAGGCCAGTGAGCACTTCCCCCCACATGTAAATTGTTAATAAAGGTGTTGAAAAGTAGTGGACCAAGCACCTAATCCTGCGGTACGCTGCTGCCCACCTTTCATTGATATAACAGTCTTGTTGATATAAGAGCATTGATATAACAGTCCTTGCTTTGTAGACCGGAGTTCTTGGCTGACTGGTACGACTAAATGTCCTGTAATGTGGCTGCAAGGAGGTGTTGTGTTGATGATGTAGCCTGGAAAAATGGTTTCTCCTCTCCCCACCTATTGCCGATTGGTGAAACAAGCCATTTGTGTGGACGGAAATGTCAAAAGCAACACACTTTCCCCCTCCTCTTGAATGCAGGACATTTTTATTTTGCAGTAACGGAAATTGAGTTTGGGGATTAGGAAGAACTTCATCACACTGTGGGTGGTTAGTTATTGGAACATTTTGCCTAGAGAGGTTGTGGCATCTCCCTCTTGGGAAGGTTTTGCAGTCAGGTTTGATAAACACTGGGATGAGATAGTTTAGACAGGGATGACCATGTCGTGAGCCAGGGGACTGGAGGAAGTGATCTCCTGAGGCCCCTGTATGTGTGCTGCTGCTCAGCATGGTCCTGAGAGTCCTTTTAGGTCCTTGGCTGGTGGGTCTTGCTCATACACTGTGGGTCAAATTGACTGCCAGATTTGGGGGCAGGGAGGAGGATATCTTCCTGTTGGGATTGTTATGGGGTTTTTGCCTTCTCCAGGTGAGAGCCCGCTCCTAGACTCGTGTGAGAGCAGTCTCCGTGACAGTGCATGTGCGTGGCCCAAACACAGTCTCTGGATGGTGTAGGAGATGGTGGCGTGTTTAGTGATCTGGACAGCGTAGTTGCCCTGCTTAAGATTGTGCAGCTCCCCCTTTCAGGCAGGGAAGGGGCCTGAAAAACAACCCTGAGCTGTTGAGGGTTCAATGTAAATAATGGAAACTTGTGACAGGCTTTTGTCCTTCGTCTTGTGCGCTCAGACACAACCCTAGCCAGCAGAGGAAAGGCTTGTATCTCCCTTTAGGCTGAATGAACCACTGCCCAGTGCCAATCTAAGGGAAGCGGATGTGAACAAATAGCTAAAGATGGGTTAGTAGTGGTCATTGTCACTGGGGCTGACTGTTAGCACCGTTAATTCGGGGAGAGACATCACTGCATCCAACCTGAACGACTGCCCCGGCCCAGGCTGGGGCTCCGGTGTAACAAATGGGCCCCACGTGCTAGTTCAGGAGCTTCTCCTGGGGTTTGGTTGTCTCTGCAGCACCCCAGTGTCTCCCAGCAAGGCATTTGGGACTACCTGCCGGGGCATGCAGCTCTTCCTTTTTCTGTAAGGAGTGCCGGAGAGGGTGGCAGCTGTCTTACAGGTATCCTGGTTGTCTCTAATGTGCTGCTGTGGATTTACTCCAAGACAGCTGTCTGTGCCTCCGCACATCTTGTAAGGTCTTAGCTTTGCTTTTTTTACACCCAGCAATTCACAGCAAGTGTGCTTTCTTAGACCAGATGGAGGGGCCATTTCTGCTCTCTGCTGCTTCAGGTTTGTACCACAGTGGGACCTCTCTGGAGTTAACACCGGTGTGACTGAGAGCAGACAAGGCTTCAGTGCCAAGTGCCAAGTTCCCCTCAGTTACCCCTTGCAGTCACCACCACTTCTCCTTGGGGAAGTCTGGACATGATGAGAGAACAGGCTTGTGGGCTGACAAGTTTGAGGGCTCCCAAACTCAGGTTTCCTGTTGACCAGGAGATCTCTTATGCTGGCACTCCTACTAGGCAGAGGAAGCATATGTTTCATGGACGAAAAGGTCAGTGTGAAGAATAGAGAGGGTTTGGACCCATGAATGCAAGTGGAGGTGCCATTCACCAAAATAAAGCTGGCCAGCATTTTTAAGCTGCAAGAAAAGAGTGTGCACATGGGCCGTGCCACAGCGCAGCATGCAGACTCAGGTTTTGCCTGTTTCCGTCTTGCAGTGTCTTCATTTGTACATGCCCCGGGATTCAGAGACTTAGAGATGAGAGGGATACTTATGGTCATTTAGCCTCATGTCTAGCATGACTCAGGCCAAGAGGATGGTTCCCAGCAACTCCTGAGTTCCTTCAGTCCTGCCTCTGTCCAGGCACTTGGGGCGACCCCCACTGTGAGAGGTCAGGCAGCCTGTGGGCCAGGGGTAATTGGGGATCCGCTGAGCCAGGGAGCCCGCAGGTGCAGCTAAGCCTGATAGAGGGAGTCACCTGAGCTTGGAGGAGGGCTGGGTGTAGAGCAGGTATAAGCCCCGGTCCTGAGAGAAGCTGGCAGTAGCATGTTGGAGCCCACCGAGACACCTTCGCTTCTGCAGGATGGCTGCAGTCAGAAGGCCAACATGGAGGACGACATCCAGAGCAATCTGGAGGGTTGGGGAGGAACTAAGGGGAGGAGGAGGTTCCTAGGGACCCAGGGAGGGCTTTGGAGCCTGGATTGAGGGGATGAGAGTGTGGGGCGAGTGAGGGTCCAGGGCCCCAGAGGTGAGGCCACTTGAAAGAACGTCACTGAGGAGGCCAGCTCCGAAGCATGGTGTAGGGGAGGACCGGAGCCGTGCAATTAGCCTACAAGGTAGGGGGACCACAGTGCACCCAGTGGCCATTTCAGAGTAATTTAGGAAGCCCTGGGGCAGCATCCCTCTAAATAATAATCAACCACAAAATATGATGGGGGTGTTTGGCCACATAGTGAGGGCTGCGGGGACTCCAGGAGCTTCGTGGCCACCCCTGGAGAAGCACTCTGCCACATGGCCGGTGTAAGAGGCATTGAACATTGGAAGTCTTCCCAAGGGACATCTTCCAATGCGCTCCAGTCCCCACGTCCCCACTTGGAGGCACTATAGGTGATGCACCGAGACGTTCTCATTATGACGTCGTCCACTTGTCTTCATGCACTGTCAGCCAGAATGATTTTTGGAGACTGGGGAAGAAATTAAGTCAGTGCAATCTGCTTAACTTTACATTACATTTCACTACATTATTCCTGTGATATACCCTCTTCTGTGTTGGAGTAAATATCTTCAGCAGCACATTTGCCCTGTGACAGCAGTGAGAGCACAGGGGGAGTCTCCGTCCAGATCGATAGGTGCTGAGAGGCTGCTGATATATCAAGTGTAGCACTTGCCTTGCATTGGTGGCTCTGTGTAAGAAATGGCTGTGGTGCTTAATTGAGTTGCACAGGCAGGTTTTTGAACTGGGCTGTGTCACTGAATGGTGCAGTCTTGCCCTGCTGACAGCAGCGTTCTCCAGCATCGTCATCTTCAGCCCTGCTGGGGGTGAGAGTGTAGCACTTCCCGAGATACTGCCGCTGAACCGTGATGGGATTGCAGAGCAAGGCGGGGAAGTGTGATAGATAAGTTGCTTAGGAGCTTGTAACTATTTCTCATGGTGCCAGAAGAGACTTTTTTTGTCTAAATCTCTGATCATAAGCTTTGAATTGGCTTTGAACTTGATGGGGACTGTCTCCCCTGGGGCATTGCCTCTGTCTGCACCATCACAATCTCCCGGCTGCAATTTGGAGGTAAAAACAAAGAGCAGAGTGTTACAATTCATATGTTGTTTTGTTTGATCAACAAGGTACTTTTCCCCACGAAAATCCCTATAGTTGTTACAGCTCAGGCTTATTTAGTTTAAGGCAGTTTTTATAATCATAATACTAGTTTTTCAGATGCTAGTCTATGTAGGAACAGGTGCAAACCAGCTGAAAGGCTCTCCTCCACTTCAATGGGGTTGTATCAGGGCCAAATATCTGAACAAGGTCTTTCTTCTTTAGGGACAAGACAGTCAGAGTCAGTAGACACTTTACAGGTATGTGAGCTGTCTGGTAGGCTGAGGTCAAAGAGATCCTTGTAGTTCCTTTTCCTGCATCCAGAGCACTAACAACCAGAGGAGCTGGGCTCAGGAGATCATCCTGATAAGTCTCACTGGCCCTACCTGACGAACGGACTGTGACAAGCATCACTGAATAGTTACACCAGTGCAGAGCAACTCAGGGATGTCAGTCAAGACTGAAAATGCAAACTTGGTTAGATATGAACATTTCCATCGGATCCCAAGAGGTTCAGCGTAGAATGGAGAGGTGCTCGGGTGTAAGAGGACAGGTTCAACCCAAGCCTAACAAATCGACTGAGGAGGCTGTGTTAGAAGGTGGTTTGTTCTTGCTCTCACTGCTTGTTCCCACTGTGGAAGTGCCGAACTCACTCCATTAGGATCAGGGTCTGAACATGGTAGATGCTGCAAAAGAAAAGGAGCACCCAGTCCTTATTCTTTGCATTGCACTGAAATGCCATTTCTTAGCACTGAGGGAGCTAAAGAGGGATCCATGTTGGGGGAAAAGGGAGCTAATGTTTGCAGCTCAGCACCGATACCTGAATACTATTTGCTTGCTTTAGTGCTTTTCGTGCTGTGACTTATCTTATTAGGGGAACACTGCAATGGGAAATCCTAACTCTGCCCTTGTGACTTTTCTGTTGCTGCTTTCAGTTGATATCTTAGCAAACCTGTATAATGCAGTCTGAGCTATGGAGACCTCAAACCTAAATCGTCTTTTGGTTCCCAGTATCTCATACAATCAGGGCAATGACTTCTGAACCCAGGGTCTAAAGTCCATCATTAAGCTCCTAGAGTAAGTCGCTTGCATTGTTCAGTGAACTGAGCAGCTCTCAAATTAAAGTCTTGTAGTGCCATCTGGTGACATAGCTGGAAGTTTATCTTCATGTTTACAGGAGATTTGGAGCTGACTGGGAAACTAGGAAAACCATGATAGAAACATTTTTGTATTTTTTGTCTGCGATGCAAATGTATCCTTACTGCTTTGTTTCACGCAGCCTACCACTTTCCCTGTTGGAGAAAAGAGATGTGGGAGTTTTTTTTCCCCTCCTACTTAAAATATAAACAGGAATTTTCCTTGGAACTGTTCTGAATTTTATTAGCAGAGAAAAAAGATAT